GCGAATGCGTTTGGCTTGGGGAAGAGCACTGTTTCGGGAATTGTTCGAAGGACTTGTGGGGTTATATCTGCTGTGCTAGGCCCAAAGTATATAAAGTTACCAAAAACTAAAGAAGAAGTTCAGGAATCAGTAAATATGTTTTACGAAAAACATGGGTTTCCTCAATGCATTGGCGCCATCGATGGAACCCATATTTTCATCAAACAGCCTCATGAAAATCCAACTGATTACATCAACAGAAAGAATCGACACTCAGTGAATGTACAAGCTCTATGCGATTTCAAATATTGCTTCACTGACATTGTTATTAAATGGCCTGGAAGTGTGCACGACGCCAGGATATTTTACAATTCTGCATTGAAGGAGATGTTAAACGATGGGACAATCCCCCCACTATACCGCACACTCGTACCTGATACTGCACCAGTACCTGTATGTATTTTGGGTGACCCAGCATACCCTCTATTACCTCGCCTTATGAAGGAATTTCCTGGTGGAGGAAACTCTGTCAAAGAACAGTTCTTTGGTTACCGACTCAGTTCTGCCAGGATGGTCATAGAATGTGCTTTTGGAAGACTCAAAGGCAGATTTGGTGCTCTTCGCAGAGAGATGGATATCAACATTGATGAACTTCCCCAAGTGATCCATACGTGTTTCATTTTGCACAATTTTTGCGAAATTAATAATGATCCATTGGTGCAGGAGTCTGTTACTCTTGGTTTACAATATGAAAAGGAATTCCAACCTGCACATAGTCCTTCAATCAGAGAGCAAAGCACTGAGGCTCTCAGTAAAGACATCCGAAATGCATTTGTTGAATTTTTGAATAAATATGATAATTTGGGACAATGAATTCATTTAATATTTTCACAGTGTTATTTCTCCCTGTGCTTGAGATTTTGGGTGCATTATAGGATTAGCAGATCCTATGTAGAATGTTTTGTAAAAAAATTTTATCAAATTGTTGAATTAAATACAGCATATGTTGCTATGACTAGTTGCTATGCCAGCTCACGCTCTGAAGTATGTGCAAATGTTTCTGTTTACAAGCATTTCAATCTCACCAAGATTTGCATTGTTTTCTGTTATTTTCAAACTATTTAAACTATTTATTTATTTATTTATTTAACAAATTTTTTGATATAATGAGCTTTAAACTGAAATATTTACACAGAATAATTATCATTAAAATCCCAAAGCTTAACATAATTATTAAATTTAAATAACATTCAAATTGAATTTAAATAATATTTAAGTATTGAACAATTTGGGTCACTTTCTTATTGTATGTTTTTCAGTCCAACTGAACTAACTGGTTGTGCTGAGGTTTCAAGATTTTCCAGCATATCATACTGGCTAAAACCTAAGTAGGGATGTTGAAAAGCATGTATTCCACTATGAATATGATTGGCTGTTGCTGTTTGCTCTTGATTATCTTTTAATAAATTACCAAGAAGAGTGAAACCCTGGCTGATTGTTGCTGTTAGGGTGGTCAGTCCTGTAGCAAATGAATCCATTGTTTTTTGGTATTTTTTCTCTGACTCTTCCATTTTCTCTGTAGCTTTTCGTTTCAATGACAACTCTTCCTTGGCAATGGCTAGTAGCTGTGACTCTGTGGCAATCTTTTTGCTTAGCTTAGCATCTTTTTTGTTATTTAAAAACGTCAACAAGCTCCTTCTCCCATCATCTTTTGATTCATTCTCGACGCTTTCTTCACACAGTGGTTCATCTACTGGGTCAACGCTGTTTGAAGGCAAGGAAGAATCTTTTTCCAATAGCAATACATCAATGTCTTCAACAACATCTTGTCTGGAGCTTTCTATTCCATTTCTCACACACTCAACTGCTGGCGAACCTCCCCAAATAGCGGAGCATTCATCAAAAAACGTTGTGACAATTCGCCCCCCGCCACTTCTTCGTCCAGAATCTAAAGCTTTTTTATAACCTTTTCTTATTCGTTTCAGTTTGCTCCATATTCTTTCTTTATTGAAAACATCACCACAATGAGGAAACTGGCTTGAGGTGGTTTTTGGGTACCCTTCCTTGAATTTAACGACAAGGTCTTCATTCTTTGTTTTAACAGAATTCCAGTCTACGCCTTCGGCGGCTTTTGTCGACTTATAATCATTAACAACGCTGAGAAGTAATACTATTTCTTCATCCGTCCACATAAAATTTTTTTCAGCCATTTTAAAAAGTTTTTCCCGCGCTAACAGCAGCTTTATAGTGCCTCATATGCGCATGCGTCAATAAATGATTACGGTCTCGAATTCGTCCGGGTCCGTGTGAACACTTTCTGACCTGTAATTCGACCGGTCTCGTGTGAACAGCTGTAATCGGACGAATTCGTGCATGGTCTCGAATTCAACCGGTCTCGTGTGAACGTAGTCTAAAACACACAAAAAAATATCATTTTTTTCGAACACGCATTTCAAATCATGCGATCCAGCAACGAGCACGAGAACGTTTAACGGAGGGGGGAAGTCATTTTCGCGGGAGTTTGGCTTCAACCAATCATAAGGCAAATCTTAGGAGTTAACCTTCCAGATTTTATTAGAGTTCACTGGGCGTGCATCTATGACGTAATCATAGCTAGGCAGCCCAGAAATCTGTTTATACTCAGTCTTCGACTGCATTGTTTACGCACGCGGTCAGCTTCTCCTGTCTGTACTAATTACTGTATTATATATTAACAAGACGCCTGCTCAAGGCGTTACTCCGCCTGCAGGTGAAGAAACTACAGGTGACAAAAGGTCACAAAATGAGGTGATTTTGCTTTTTGTACTGTTGTCTGTCATACTTTTGGGATTTTTTGTTATACATTTTGTATTCATTAATATGAAATTATTCATTGATTGATGCATCTTTATTCATTGATGTAACTTTATTTTATTATAATGATGTAACTTCATTCAGTTGCTTAACTTTGTTTACAGATGTAACTTCATTAATTAATATAACTTTATTCATTGTAACTTCATTGTTGGCATTCAAAGGTAAGTTGGCATTCAAAGTTAAGTTGGCATTCAAAGGTGACTTAAATTGGTATTCAAATGTGACTTGGTATACAAATGTGACTTGGTATTCGAATGTGACTTGGTATTCAAATGTGCATTCATGGAATTCACACTCAGGGACATAAATTTTTTTTGCAACTTCCTGCAAATGAGCACCAAAACCTGGAAATTAGAACAAAAATAGGGTTTTATAAGTTTGGCAAATCAATCCTGTGATAGAAACCCCTTTTAACCCGTTATCACTCGCTACTCTGGTTTATATAAATGATCACAAAGCCTGGTCAAATTGTAATCAGGACCTAACGTTTCGACAGTCCAGTCTACTGTCTTCATCAGGGGTGATCTGACATCATACCCAAGGGATCATGTCACCTGCCAATAAGATGCATATATTCCTCTGGCAAATGGGCACTGTCGTCCCTATTCAGAGCATGATTACTCATATTCATATGCCACGCTTTTAGGCAAAGTCTTCGACCATGTATCAATTGTTAGTGGTAATTACTTTAGAGTTTTCCCATGCAATCTTGTGTTTCATGTCACACAGGTGCTCTGCCAAGAAAAAACTCTAAAGTAATTACCACTAACAATCGATATGGTCAAAGACTTTGCGTAGAAGCGTGGAATATAAATGAGTAATCATGCTCTGAATAAGGATGACGGTGGCGATTTGCCAAAGGAATATATGCATCTCATTGGCAGGTGACATCATCCCTTGGTTATTTAAGAAGCTTCGATTCCAGCTTTAGATCACCCCTGATGAAGACAGTAGACTGGACTGTCAAAATGTTGGGTCCTGATTACAATTCGACCAGGCTTTGTAATAATTTATACATTTATATTTGTGATAAAAGAATATCTTGGGGTAATCTGAAATACGACACAACTTGGCCATTTTTGATTCTGTGAAACCAATTGCAAAGAAACATGTTTCATATAAAAATTCATTGCCGAATTGAGGCATTTTATAAAACAGGCTTTAAAATAGACTCTAGTAAATAGAAATATCGAATTCTTAAACATGCAGGGTCGCTAAACTTGTAGTATGTATAATTTCTGAGAGCAAACAGTACTTTGTATATACCTAGTTTGTATTAAAACACTACGTCAACGTGAATCACTAAATCAACTATAAAACAGAAAATCTTGGGTATACTAATATGCAATTACCGCCACAGCATATGAATACAATCTAAATCTTAATAACTTACCCTTGTAGTTGTTTAACATGGTTCTGAAAGCTCTTTCAATTCGACATTCATATTTTTCAATTTTTCACAACGAAAGAACCTCAATTCAAACACGAGGCACAAGTCCACGAAGAAAAATAAACATTGCACAAAATCAACCCAAAACCTCCCTAAATGCCAACTGATGTACATATTGATGTACATAATTCATCCGTATTCATCCGTGTAACCCAGGGCTTCTCGGTCAAAATGTTTTGGGTTACCTGTAGAAATGCCAACTTCTGTCGCCCAAAACTACGACTACTACGACTACTACTAAAAGGAAAAAAGACCATGGCATTTTAAGACTCCGCTGCGCATACGCAGGCGGAGTAATAAGGTTGGCAACTTAATTTCAAAGCCAACACGTACCTTCGGAGAAATAGTAAAAAACTGTAAAACTACACAGCAAAGAACGCAAAAAAATACATAGAGGTAAACTAAGATACCTTTACTAAACTACTAGCTACCTTTTTTATCGAAAAGGAGACTGGAAGTGTCGAAAAATCGGCATATTTTTTACATATTTGTTGAATTTTTCGCTGTGACTATGCGGGATGCAAGCCTAGGTAGCCCAAAGGTATTTGTGTTTTAATCTGAAGCGTTTACATCACAGACCGCAATATTAAACTGGATGGACGCTTTAGATTAAAACACAAATTGCTGGGTTTCAGTCACGTGACACTCGACTGACTTTTACTTCCGGTAAAAACACTTGGTGGTCAATTTCATTTGATTGTCACATTATGCCGGATGTAAACAAATTTATAACTTGAACTTAACAATAGCGATAAATGCCGTCTGCTTGTGTTGTTTTTGGCTGTAAAAACAGGACAAATAAAGAAAATGATAAGCGGTTTTTCAGAGTACCTAAAGTGTATGTTCATAATGGCGAACGGGTTAAAGATTTTTTAACAAGACGGTCTGTCACATTAAACTACGGACAAACATTGTAAAATGGCTGTGAATATTGACAACATGCAAAATAATGAGCTGTCTGATTATGCAAGTGGATTAGAAGGCAGTGTTCGTGAAAGGTATTAAAGGAAAGTATTGTTATGTGATGGAACAGACCCGTATACTCTTAAAAAGAGTGATTTTTCATATGAGATAAACGAGTATCCGGCCGTAACATTCCCAGACATATCCAACTACCTGGTTTTGCAAACATCTTTTTACACAACGGAACAAATGAAAGGATTCAAGAGCATGGAAGCGTACAACTTTTTTGTTAGCGGATGGGTCAAAGAAATTGGAACGAAGATTTTAAAGAATAATTTCTGTCTAGTTTTGGGCAGGGTAAGTGTAAAAATTTTGGTAAATGGATAATACGGTGTCAAGTTTCACCACTTTTTTGTGTATTCAATATATGCATATAAAATTGTATTTTTTGTAGGTAAGGCACTCGCAAAAATGCAACGAGACGCCAGTAAAGACGTGGGTACTTTTGAAAAATGATGGAGAATTTTTGACAGCGCATTGTAATTGTATGGCAGGGTAAACTACACATTTTTTTGTTTAATACAAAATTATGACGTGTATTTTAAGAGTAAGTTCACATATACTTTATATTTCAGAGATGTATGTGTGTCTAGACACTAGCCTTTTTTGAATTATTTTATTTTTTATACTAAATTTTTATATGTTTACCTTTATTCTGATATTTGTCATTCTACCACCTATTTCGTCAATATTTTTACAGATTAGCTGAGTCATGCTCTCACGTTGGTGCTATTTTGTATGCACTTGAGACTGGTGTACGAATGAGAAATTCCACAACCTGTACTATGGAGAAGTGTAAATGGTTAATGCCATCATATGTTGACAAGGTACCCTAATAATTATCGTCTTACTTTCTTCAATCTAATTCATATCTATTTAATGAAGTTTTTTAATTAATAGGTAATTCCTACACCAGTGTCAGATATAGATTTCTCTTCTGCCAAAGCAAAGAAAAAAAAAGCTAGATGAAGTCATTGGTGGAAAGTCTCCTGTGTCATCAACTACCTTTAAAAAGAAGTGTCAGCCTAATTCTCCAGATTTAGATACGTGTAACAACTTTTATGAAGCCTTGAATAAAAATAACCCTAAAAGTGCCATACTCATGACGCAAGATAAGTACTATAAGAACTTTGTTCCTAAATCAAGTACAAATGCTCTGCCCAAATCAATTATGGAATACCGAAACCCAGCAGCTATAAGCATGCAACCAGCCATCCTCGAAAATCATTGCCAAACATTTAAAATACCAGAACTTACTCAATCACAGATATCCACAGTAGAACGTGAAACAAGACATCAATCAAAATCCAAAATATGGTACAGGCAAAGAGCTGGCAGGATAACTGCATCTAAATTAAAACAAGTTTTAAGAACAAACCCTCTGGAACCATCAAAAAGTCTTGTTAAAAGCATATGCTATCCTGAATCCTACAAGTTTTCAACTGCAGCAACAAGGTACCTCGACTGTAATATACAATGTAACTTATTCTAAATGCCTTAATGTTGAGTAATTCATCAATAACAAAGCAAGGTGCACCCCATTATCTCCATCATCTTTCTCTTTAGACATGGATGCAAGCATGAAGCCAAAGCCATTGAAGAATATACAAACATCATGTGTAATTTGCATGATGATTTTTCGGTCAGTGAAAGTGGTCTTTGGTTGAATGAGAAATGGCCATACATGGGTGCTACCCCTGATGGGATTGTAATGTGCAGCTGCCACGGGACTGGTTTATGTGAAATTAAGGTAATATATTATGTATTATACAAAGTTATACATAATGTCATTTTGATGCATACTGGTATGTAGTATTTAATTTTTTAATTTTTAGTGTCCTTACTGTATCACAGAAAAAGAGAACATTTCTGATGCTACAGAAAAAAAGGGGTTTTGTCTGGTAAAAGATGAAAGTGGTAAGACCCATCTAGACAGAAATCATGGCTACTTCTATCAATAATTTTCTTGTATGATTGCATGGCGACTTTAGTAATTATAATAACTTGTAGGTACACCACGTAAGTATTAAATACTGCAAAGCTTTCGGTCCGTTAACCCGGACCTTCAATTGCACTGATGAAGGTCCGGGTTAACGGACCGAAAGCTTTGCAGTATTTAATACTTACGTGGTGTACCTACAAGTTATTATAATTACTTCTATCAAGTCCAAATGCAGCTTAACATTGTACCTGAGGCAGAATATTGTGACTTTGTAGTGTGGAAAAAGAATGAGCTGTATGTTGAAAGGATCATGCCTGATTTAGCTTTGTGGGATGAAATTGTTCCAAAGGCAGAGGTTTTTTTTAGAAATTGCATTCTTGCAGAAGTATTTGGTAGGAAATTTACCAAGGAAATTGTAACAGCATTAAATGCAAACAATTGAATTTTAAACAATTATGAAAAAAGTACATACCTGATGGGAGCTTACAAACAGCAAAGTTTCATTTTATGAGGCTTTCTTTCAAGTACCAAAGAAATACCAATTAAAGTAACTAAATGTTAAAGCAATCATTGAAGTGAAATGTGCTAATTATATAATTATTTATATGAAGTATGATTATAAAGCCTCGTACTCAGGCTTGGTAAATTGCTAAATAAATAAGCCAAACATTGTTATAAACGGCCCTTTTATCTCTCTTTGAAAACAAAGATGATAATATGATAATAATGTTTGGCTTATTTATGCAGCGAATCTACCAACCATGCTTGTACCCAAGGCTCTAGTGCTAAAAGTCTGCACTGACTACAGTTGTAGCAATATTTATTTTGCACTTTGTAACAAAATTTATTTTTTAATTTCTTAACAAAGATATGAAATGGCAGCTATTTTGATGTGTTAATAATTGCCAATTGCTTAATTGAATGTAATTACTCCAATGGGACAACAGATTCCGATAAATTGGAAAGGGCACAGCAAATAACAGCGATTTTATCAATAACAGCTAGAGAATCCCCATCCTTCACAGCCATATGTTCAATTGGCATTGCTCTACTTTGTAAGATCTGGTATTTTTGTCTGACCAACCCAGTGACACGTTCAACATGGATCCTTACACTAGCTACTTTCCTTGATTCTTCAACCTCAATTGGTGATAACTGTGGTTTCCCTTTCGTGAATGCTGGTATTTTTAATGATGCACAAGAAAATCCAACACTGTCATCAATATCGAAACCACGATCAGCCAAAACAACATCATCAGGAAGCAACTTTTTCAGCATACCACTCTCCTCTGTGATTCGTTTATCACTAGCTCTTCCACCCCAAGCAGATGAAATATAGGAAACCAGTCCTTGTGGAGAAATACCAATTAGGAATTTGACTGTATTGTGGTGTTTGTAATTAGACCATGTCTGTGCACGTGCCAGAAGATTTGATGGTCGTTCAATGTAAACTTCAAAACAGTCGATTATAACGACAACCTTACTCCCAAATGCATTTCGAAAGTCCATTGGCATTGTTGCTTGAAGAAACTCTCTCTGTGGCCAGTCAATCAAGAATTTCACTCTTTGGTGCATTACAGTTATCACTTTGTGCCAAATCCTGGAGACGGTTGACAATGAAACATTGAAGCGATACCCTAAATCTTTGAGTGGTAAGTTGAGTCGTAACCGTAAAAGAACTAAAATAAACTGTTCGAACTTGTTCAAGGCAGATTGCGATGTAGTGCTTATAAATGGCTCACACAAACCAAACACCTGCATGAGTACAAGATAGTTGGGGAGACCAGTGTAAAATTTGGTCTTATCTGGACTTGCTTCAAATGACTGTTTACTGAATGCACTCTCAAGGGCTTTACTCCGCATATCATTCAAATCATTCTTCATGCTTTCAACTTCTTTCTGCAACGCATCCAAGTCATCGCCACTGATATCTGTTTGGCATTCTACACTAACCATTTCAACAATGACATTATGTGATTCGTCAGACTCTGAAATGAACAAACAAGTAATATGAAATTGAGAAACATAGTTAATGCTTTATTTCAGTTATTTCGACATGAAAAATGTCAAAATCTGTATTATAGTTTCTGTAACTTATTTCAAAAATTCACATGTGTAATAATAAATTTGAATACACCACATAGTACCTGTACCTTCATTTTCAACACTGCTCCTTCTTGTAATATCATATTCAAAAGGAATGCCATCACACAAATGAAGTAAAGAATATATAGCTGATCGCCGACGTTTTTCCTCCAAAGCTTTAGCACGTAGTTCACGATTCTTTGCTCCATTCGTCTTGGCCTTCAGTTTATTATGCCCAAGTCGTAGTGTGGGTGCCCAATCGTCATCATCTTCCTCAAATAATTTGCTAGGACATCCTTTATAAGTAAATTAAACTCTGATAAGATACGAGGAGCTTAGAAAAGACAAGAAACTGTTGTATTTACTAATTTTACTGTAATGATTGTAATGAACCTTGTACAATGTTAGAGATAAGAGACGTGTACATATTTCTTCCTAAAACTGTATCATCGACCGAAGTAAAAATCTATCAACTTCTGTTAAATACGTATTTAAGTGCAACGTGAAGTAAATCAATAAAATATACCTTTAACAAAGTGGTCGCTGCAAACGCGAGCGTGATTTGATTCAGCTCCCTTTGACTCCAGTGACAAATTTCTCAGCCACCGGTTTCGTCGTCTTGTTGAAAAATCTTTAACCCATTCGCCATTATGAACATACACTTCAGGTACTCTGAAAAACCGCTTATCATTTTCTTTATTTGTCCTGTTTTTACAGCCAAAAACAACACAAGCAGACGGCATTTATCGCTATTGTTAAGTTCAAGTTATAAGTCAGTCGAGTGTCACGTGACTGAAACCCAGCAATACCTTTGGGCTACCTAGGATGCAAGTTGCCTGATACCGGCTTTCGGTTCGAATCACGAATGCATCATTTCATTGGCTTTTAAAAGTTCGTAAATTGTAAAAGCCAATGAAATGATGCATTCGTGATTCAAACCAAAAGCCGGTATCAGGCAACTTGCATCCCGCATAGTCACAGCGAAAAATTCAACAAATATGTAAAAAATATGCCGATTTTTCGACACTTCCAGTCTCCTTTTCGATAAAAAAGTGGCTAGTAGTTTAGTAAAGGTATCTGAGTTTACCTCTATGTATTTTTTTGTGTTCTTTGCTGTGAAGTTTTACAGTTTTTTACTATTTCTCCGAAGGTACGTGTTGGCTTTGAAATTAAGTTGCCAACCTTATTAATATATAATCACAGTTTAGATATATCTTTTCCTTTCGTTCAGTACAGAACGTCTTTTATGAAAAATTGCGAAAAAAAAATTGATCCAATTTCATGCTTCAGCCTTTGTGTATTAAAATTACAAAAGGTCGCACAAATACAAACGATAAATATGTGTTTTCGTCATGGATATACCCAGTTATTTTTTATTTATCTTCATATAATTTCTGTCTGTCTATGAAAATTCCTGTCAAAACCCAGGTAGCTCAAAGGTATTTGTATTTTAATCTAAAGCGTCCATCCAGTTTAATATCGCGGTCTGTGATGTAAACACCAATTGCTATATTTGGTGTTTACATCACAGACCGCGATATTAAACTGGATGGACGCTTTAGATTAAAACAAATACCTTTGGGCTACCTAGGGTCAAAACCATGAAAGTATATTTTTTTCCTTTTACTAAATTACAAGAAGTGATAAATAATAAACTGTCAGTGATGAGGTTTGAAAAATAAGTATAGCTCTATATTCTGTGCTTATGAGTTTATAGGGTGGACTTTTCATTCTTCTGTTAAAGGGAATCCATAATAAATGGATATTATATACTTTCATGTATCATTACACAAATGTTTATACAGTTTCATGTATCATTACACAATTGGATATAAATTCTTTTCAGTGATTTATAGTCAATTTCAGCCACTGTTGGTCCTCACGTGTCTTTTTTATTAGTATCTATCAAGCTGGTTTGGTTGCTATTTCATGTTCACAAGAAATGTTCCACTGGGAAAAGCACTCATCAATGAAAAGTTTGCAGAAAGCACTAGTGAATTGCAGATGCATGTGTTGGATTGTTGCATGCATCTTGCTAATATTGCCAAAACATTCTTTAAGCTTTGTGATCAAAGATTGGTTTAGCTATACCTATATATATATATATATATATATATATATATATATATATATATATATATATATATACATATATATATGAACTTGGTTTTGGTTAAGATTTCTTCAGACATAGAATTAAAGCACACGAGGTGTATCTCCAAACGTTTCGCCTGTTATGGCTTCTTCAGTGGAATGCTTTACAATGATATTTCCTCCTATTTATATACAACTAATTAAAATGCTAAATTACCAATGTGTATGCAATGTCTATAGTGTTCCATTATTCTATAAAAGCATGCTCATGCATTTAATGTGCCATTATTAAGCAAACTTATTAAAACTCACTAATTTATAAAAGTCTATATAGTCCCGTAGTTTAAAATTCTATACAATGTTAATAGATTAGAAATAATTCAAACACTGATTGTTCTGCCAATACAGCCGTTCATCAAGTCTCCAGAATGTTTTTGTATTTCAAATGCTTCAATGTATTTCCTCTCCACGTTATTCGCGATATTAGCATGTAAAATCATCCATCTTATTACAGGTAGCCTGGATTTCTTGTGGGATTCCAAATGTTTATAAACCGTCTGTTTTTCCATTTTCAAGTGTTCTTTAATCCTTGATCCGATTGTTCGCCCCGTTTCCCCAATGTATACGATATCACATGCTGAACATTCGATTTTGTAAACAACATTCTTCTTTAGACACAAGTTCGATTTTAAAGATAATTTGCACGTTTCACATTCGCTCGGACTGTTCTGTTGCGTCTTTGGTGGCGCAAAAACTTTGGACAGGGGTTGACCATTGATGAAATGTATTCTTACATTCGGTATTCGTGATCGCTTTACTACCCTAATAGCCTGCCTCTTAAACTCTTCGTTGATAAATGGTAGCTTTATATAGATAGATCGTTGTTGTTCTAATTCCTCCGGTTCATTATGTTGCTGGATATGTCGGTGTTTATTTTATAAATCGTCTTCCTAATTATAGATTTAATAAATGTTTTAGATAGCCAGGGAAGTAAATAATTCCGTGATTAGATTGAGTGATTTCTTTCGTGTTGTAGAATCAGTTGAACATTTGATAGCCCTATTTACTTCCCCAATCACTATGGCTTGTTTGGAGAATATTGACCCGTGACTGTCCCAGGGTGTGATGCATCGGCTGTGAATTGGTTTTATATAAAGGGTTGTACTAAATGTTTGAGTGCCCATGTTCCAGGTGACAAGGGTATCCAAAAACGGTAGTTGATTGTTGTTTGGCAATTCAAGTGTGAATTTGATTGCGTTATTAAGGTCATTTGCTAATGTTAAAAGCTTTTCTCCTGAGAATTCTTTACTTAACAGGAAGGCAAAATAGTCATCAATAAATCGCTTGAGAGTGACATATCCATTGGACTTAATTAGGATTTGGTTATTGAGTTCGTTCATGTAAATAATCGCCAAAACGGGGGCTAGGTTGTTTCCCATAGCCAAACCTGATTGTTGTTTGTAGCCTTTGCCGTCAATCAAGACCTTGTCGCTAATCAAGCAGAGACGAACCAGTTCTTCGAAGTCTTGGTCGCAAAGGGCATGTAATTGACAATCAGCTTTGTGTTGATGGAAGAAACGCCGAGTGACTGTGAAAATACTTGGAGTATGGTCGTCTATATCAACCATTGGTATAGACCCATATAAGTTACATACGTCCAAGCTGCAGAAACCATGTACTAAGTTACCATCTGTATTCGAGATAAAACTGATAAACTCGTCAGTGTTTTTTAAATGTGCTGGAACGTGTTTTAAAAGCGCTTGTAATGATTTGGCCAAATACTTGGACAAACATGTTGCGGGGGTGTCTGTAGCTGCGTGTATAGGTCTGCCTTTAAGTTCGGGTCCCTCTTTATGGTCTTTGGGTAGACAATAAGCAGAACAGGGCAGTGGTTCACTACAGATGGTAGATCTAAGGTCATTATAAACTTGGGGTTCTTGTATCGATATTTATTGGCAACTTTGTTCAACCGATTATTGAAGTTTATTTGTTCCGTCCTCGGTAGATTTAATTTCTTTAATTCTTTATAATTACCTGTCTCTGTTGTTGATCTATGTAGCATATCCTCATACGATGTTGTATTTAGAGCTAGTAATCGTTTAGTCTTATCCGTTGGGGTAATAACTATGTTTTTTGGTGGTAAATCATAGGTTAATGACTTATTCTTAAGAATCTTTTTGCCATGCTTGTTACCTTCCTCAATCACACGAGCCATCCCTCCTTTGAATTCATTTATGGCAGTCTCGGGAACATTTTGGCGTTTGAGTTGATCTATGGCATGTTGAAGACTGGCTTTAGCTAGTAAACTAAGTCGAGGGAGATCTTTGGGTTCAGCGTTTACGAAGGAGGGGCCCTTTTCCAAAATATTTTTGAGCTCATCATCCAACTCTTAAAACGATATGTTTTTGAATCCTTGTGGTTTGCTAGAAGCTGTTGGCGTAGTGCGGCCGCGTTCTCGATTTCGTTGTTTCATATCGTTTAGAAAATTTTGGAAGCTTACAATTTCTCGGTCTTCAAGTTCAATCAGTGGAAATACATACTGTCGAATCGTATGTAGCCGGTGATATTGAGTGTTGATTGCCAGTTGTAACCATTGTCTGCTGTGTTTTTGTGCTAGTTTCTTGGCAGCTAGACAGTTCGTAGTGTTTACAAATTTGTTGTTAGCTCGCAGTCCATTGGGTATAACATTTAACGACTTGCACGTACGTAAGAAGGAAATATTACTGAGATGGCGAATAATTTTCTTCGCGATACGATAATGTGAATAGTTATGAGGT